TCACCTGGGAGTCACGCTCAGTTACACTCATAATCAGACACAGGGAACAATCCTCTGGAACACGGAGGGCGGGACCGGGTGGCACAGGGCTACCAAGAGCGCAGCAGAATAAAGTGCCGATTGAGGGGCCGGTGGGGGCTACGCCCACGTGGGGAGAGTGCCACGCAGGTGGCTGTCGGGGTGCAGGCTTGGACGGGCAGGGTTAGAGGGTGGAAAGCATGCTTTTTTCCAACATGCAACTTGCCCGTGAACTTGGGGGCCTCGGTCTCGCTGAAATGGAAGGCTGTTGTCCTTGGCAAGATGGCCTTCTGTTCTCGGCCGTTACCTCCCACCTCTTTCCCTAAAATAACAACCTCGGTGCCGAGTGCGAGGGCCGAGTCACGCTGTCCCTGGGAAGAGAGGACGCCTGTCTCTGGGACGGGCCCAGCGAGCCTGCTGGGGGAGACCCCCCAGGGCCACACAGGCTGGTCTGGAAGGAACTTAAGGCTACCAGCCCTGGGTCCCCAGGCCCCCAGGTGCCACAGACCGTCTGCAAAGGAACCGGCCCCACACCCTGTGCAAACACGGATGCCATTCTGTCTCCTTGAAGTCAGTGTTCGCGGATGCAGGGAGTCCAGACCCCGGCCGGCAGGGAGAGGACACCTCCCCAGGTCGTGGAGTGAAGCCGACACTCCAGGGGGGCCTCAGCCCCCACACCACCCCCCACCTGCCCAGGTGGCCCCAGAGCGCAGAGCTCACCCAGCCCTGTAGCCCGGAGACCGAGGCCCTCCTCCCTGCATCCTGGTCCCAGAGCTCCATCAGCAGCACCAGTCCAGCACGGAGCACTGCTGGTTTGGACTCGCTGGGGAGAGGCGATCGGAAACGGAAAAGACTTTGTGAATAAAAGCTGATGAAGAAGCAGCAGATTTAGGGCTTCAGGAGTGAGGGTTTGGCTCTGTGCGCCTGCACCGCGAGGCTGGTCTCCCCAGGCGGCCGGGCTCCACACCCTTCACCCGCCCCTTCCAGGAAATGTCCGTAGGTGCGCGGGTCAGGGCGAGCTGTGCCTGGGGCACCTGGGCACCAAGAGCGTGCAGCCCTGAGCAGGGGTGCGGCTGGGGTGTTCGGAGGGGAGGGGAGGGGAGGGCAGGAGGCAGGTGGGGCTGCACCCATGCGTCCAGGGAAACCAACAGCCTAGGTACTGAGGGGACTGGTGAGTGCCCCCCCATCGTACCCTAAACCAGGGCCTGGAGCCCATCCCTCTGGTGGTAGTGCCCTGCCCACCTGGGGGAGACCACTGTGGCAGGCAGCGTGCCAAGCTCAGAGCCAGAGTGGGCTCTCACCCCTGCCCGTGGCCGCAGAGGGCTCTGGGCTGGGCCCATCTAGGGCCACCAAGCCCTGCTTCCAGTGTCTAGGAAGTCTCCTCCCTGGGCTGTCCCCCGCCTCCCCACCCACCACCCTGGCTCGGCCCCGCCCCCACTACCAGGCAATTTGGACGAAATCATTCGCCTCCTTGTGCCTCAGTTTCCTTACCTGGGCTATAAGGTTATGGGACAGGCCTGAGCCCACCTCCCTCACACCCACCCTCTAAACACTCGGGGCTCATTCCAGGCCGAGCCGCCACCCCCAGGTGTCCCCGCTAAGCCCCCCACCCTGCCCTCTCTGCGCCCGTGGGAGTCCAGCCCAGCCTGCAGAGTGCCCTCTGGCGTGACTCCTGGGGCTTCTTCTCCCGGCCGTGAACCTGACAGTAGGGCTAAAGCTCCACCATCTGCCCAATGCCCTGGACGCCAACTTACCACCCACACTGCCCCTGGTAAGGGCTGCTCCTCGCACAGAAGAGGAAGCAAGGCTTGGGGACACGTGGGGCAAAACAATTACTGGCCGGCCCCCCCCCCCGCCGCTGGCTGCCGGAGGGATGCGCTCCGGGCCCTGGATTAGGGTGCGATGGGGCGGGGGCACCACCAGCGCCTCCCCTCCAAACAGCCCAGCCCCACTTGGAGATGAGTTTGGTTGGGTCCAAAGGCCAGTCCATCAGCAGGGACGCTCCCAGCCCCCACCAGTAACGACGTTTCTAGCTTGGATGAAACTGTAAAGACCCGGCGATGGGGTGTGGCCAGCCTATCATGATGCCAGGCTGTTGGTGAGAAAATTGTAGTGTTATAAGCATGCACACAGCGTGCAAACACAGTGTGTACACATGTATACACACATACTTATGCACACGTATACGTGTGTGCACATACACTTATATCTGTATGTGTGCGTACATGTACACACACGTGCCCATATACACCTGTCTGCGTTCACGCACATATAGAACTGCTAGCACAGAGGTCACGCTCATACCGTTGTCCAGCACCCAGGCATCACGCTGGGAAAGTCTGTAGTGTCATCCGTGAGGAAGGAGTTCTCAGAGTAACTGGAAGCCTTACTCACACCTCGTGTACGTGTGCATCAGGGCTTCGGTGCCGTGTTCCGAGTGCGCCCAGGACTAGCGCGTGTCCAGAACAACATGCTTCTTCCGTCTCCTTTGGGGGAACTGATAATCTGCACTAACGTTTCTCCCCGGAGACATGGGCGTGTCTTCCAGGCTGAGGCTGCACGGGTCTGGCATTGATTTTCGCCAGATTTTGTTATTATATGTGTCTCACAGCTTTAAAATAGTAGCAAATATGTGCAATTTATTTAAACAACACTAGGGAAATTAACGCCATGCAACCTCATCCTAAGCAAATGAAGATGAAGCTGTTCAAAAAAAAACAAAACAAAACAAAACAAAACCCAGCTTTATGAAAACTCTTTAACATCCTGAGCCTGAAATACCAAGAACTCAGGTGAGCTCTCTGCCTGCCCGGGCCCAAGCCTTACGGGTGGGGGCAGACCTGTGTTCTCTGCACCGTCATCAGCGGGGAGCCATTGGGGCAGGGGGGCCACAGATGGCCAGCACCCCCTCCCCAGGGCTGTGCTTGTGGCCGGGGCTCCCTGGCATCTCCTACAAGGCCCCCCAAGTCCCACAGGCTCCCCCCATGCTCAAGAACAAACACCAACCATGTCCCTTCTTGGGGGGCAGGTGAGCCAATGCCTGCGAGTTGGGGAGCCCCCAGAGAAGCCACATGGAGGCTCCTTAACACAGGCTGCAGGCATTTCTCCGGGAACATTGACTTCTGCCCAGCCTCCCGCACACAAAACTTGGGGTTGGGTAAAGGGGACGTGACCTCCCAGGCAAAGAGCCCCGCAGTGAGGGGTGGCACTCAGCCAGGTGCTCTGGTCTTGAGGTCTGACTCCCAGATTCAAATCCTGTCCCTACCCACTGAGCTGTGTGACCTGCTGAAGTTACTCAGCCTCTCTGAGGCCCCTCTGTGCCTCCTTAGTAAAGTGGGGTTGAGGACACGTCCTGCTGAGCCGGTGAGGGGGGTTTAGGTGGAGACTGCGTGGGGTGCTTGGCGCCCACAGGCGTCAGCTGCTCATGGGCAGGGAAGGCGGCTGTCTGTGCCGGGCCGTGAGGGGATGGTGTGCAGCCAGGACTGTCCTGACTGTGGTTCTGTGAACAGCAGTCATGGCCACCGGGGATGTGCGCACCTTGCGAGGCCCCTTTCTGACGAGGGTGGGGAGTGGTGGACGAAAGGCTTGTGGTTTTAGTTGCTGCAAACACTCGACTGTAGGGCTTAGGCCGTGAGTCCGCTGGGGGCTGGGGGTGTCCCAGAGGGGGCCTCTCCTTCCCCTGTGGCTCGTCCAGATGGGATTGCCCGTGGATTCGGGAAGAGTTTCCCTTTTCATCAAGTAGGCCGTTTTGTACACATGTATTTAACTTGTTTCTATGCAGCTTTTTTGCAAAAAGAAAAAAGGGGAGGGTCAAGGTCCCGTGTCCACAGAGGCCAGGGCTCAGACAACCCAGGACCATCTTGCTGGGCCTGGAGCTAAGGCAGAGGGGAGGACCCGCCGTGGCTGGAGTCGGGTGGCCTGTGGCCAGGAGCCGTGGGCTGTCCCTGGCCAGGCCTGTCTCGGCCTTGTGAGCTGTGATGTGCAGCCGACTCAGATGCAGTCAGACGAGCACCAGCCATGAAAACAGTGCTGAGGCCCCTTGAAAATGAGCGTGGAGGTGGCGCACGCATAGACGCCATGCACGTGCGTGAGGGTCTGCTGGCTCCTTTAATTATACAAAGTCATATATGTTGTAATATTTAGAAATATAGAAGAAGGTAAAAGGAATAAAGTAAAATTGCGTGAAGCTCACTGGTGATCAGAGAAAACAAAAGTTTCCATTTTGATGTTTCCTTCCAGCCTTTTCTCTGTCCTTAAACACATGCACACACGCACCCGTGCGCGCGCACATGCATAAATAGGGATTTCTCCTACATGTAGACTCTGTTGCCATTCTCCACTTACCACTATTTTATGGACATTTCTTCATGTCCGAATCTTCAAAGGGTAGCTTTTAATGACTATGTAATACCCCAAGATACAAACATAGCATCATGCATCTAACTATTATTTAGGGGCATCTGGGTGGCTTGGTTGGTTAAGTGTCTGAATTCGGCTTAGGTCATGATCTCACGGTTTGTGAGTTTGAGCTCCATGTCAGGCTCAGTGCTGACAGCTTGGAGCCTGGAGCCTGTGTTCAGGTTCTGGGTCTCTCTCTCTCTCTCTGCCTCTCCCCTGGTCCAACTCCTTTTCTATCTCTCAAAAAGGAATAAACATTAAATAATATTAAAACAAAATAAAAATAAACTGTGTTTCCTTTGTGATTTTCCCCATCCTTCAGGGATGTGAAAGCTCTGGTCCACCCTACTACGGATTCTTCTGTGCTTGAGGTTTCTTCCCCCCACGTAATTCTGTAATCCACTTTGCTACAAAGGTGTCTTGCTTGATTTTTTCCCCTAACACTCAGCCACCTTCCCAAGCATCATCCAGTCTTTCTGTGTTGATCTAGGACAGAACAGATTCTCTGAACAGACGCCTTCTCCTTGCGCAGAACTTAACCAGACTTCTCTGACTCTTCTCTCCCCCTCCGACCGACGCTGCAGAAAGGGAAGCCGAGCGCAGGTCTGGCCGCCCGGCAGCCTCCCAACGACACGCTGCTGCCGTGGCCGCAGCACCACAGCGCCAGCGGGCTGAGGAGACAGAAGCGAGACTGGGTCATCCCGCCCATCAACGTGCCGGAGAACTCCCGCGGGCCCTTCCCCCAGCAGCTGGTGCGGGTAAGTGGGGGCTCTCCTGCTGGCCGGGACGGTTTGGGCTCAGACACCCGAAGGGCAGTCTCGTCCTCCAGGGAAGGCGTCCGGCTGGACTTGGGTCCTCTGGCCTGTGCTGATGGAATGGGGCAGGGTGGTGACGTGGGGCATGGCCTTTGGCCTCTGACACCTTTCTTTGCTCACACTCTTTTCCAATTATGACTAAGACACTGGATGGTGGAAAGACGGTGTGTCTGTGCTGGCGTTGATGATGATAGTGGGAAGCCAGAACTTGGGATGGAGGCTGTGACCCCAAATTGGGTGCTTTTGCGGCCCTTGGGGGGGGTGCTCCTTCAATCACGTGCTCCCAACCCCCTCCCCAAGGGTGCTTCGCCTGGGAGGAGGGAAGAATCGGTTTTACAGATTAGCATTTCAGTAGCCAAGGCCATCAACTAGCGTTTCCTTCTTCCCTGGAAGAAAATTGCACCCGCGCGGATGGCCACGCGCCCTTAACTGGCTCCTGGCCCCTGCAAGAGCTCCCTGGGCAGGCGCCTGCCTTCCCCGCTTCGCTGGTTTCACCCGCGCACTCGGAGCAGAGCAGGGCCCCCCCCCGGCCACGCCCGCCACACACACGCAGCCTCCACAAAACCCCACGGATAGGCGCTGCACCTGATGCGGTGACTCGCGAGGGGACGGTGTACTCATCCCCAAGCACGGAGCCCCTAAAACCCTCGGGAATTTCCGCTGGGAGCGCTGGAGGGTCTTTTGATATGTTAACGGGAACGTTTGGGGAGTCCCCTTAGGACTGGGGACTGGTTGCCGGTTGCCAGGGGAACAGAGTTGGCGGCCTGAGGCCTTACTTTCAGCCCCGCCCCCAACACCTGGGAAGGGGCAGGGCTGGAGGTCAAGTCCGAGTCGACCGCCAGGGGCAGTGATCTAATCAGCCAAGTCTGTGCTGAAGCTTCCAGGAAAACCCGGAGGGACCGGTTAGGAGAGCCTGGTGTTGGTGGGCACGGGAGCGGCGGGGGAGGGCAGGGGGGGGGAGCCTGGCCCTGCGCGCGCACCGTCCGCTGTTCCTGAGTCCTGCTCTATGATGACCTAGCGAGTAGACGTGCTCTGAGCAAGCGCAGGGTCGTGGGCACCTCCGGTGCACAGCCCGTGGTCGGGAGCACAGGAGGCAGGCCCTCTGGGTGGGACCGAGCCCCTCCCTGTGGGGCGGACGCTGCTCTTTTGCGCAGCTCGTGTCAGGATAAACTGTGGCTAAACAGTAGTCACCCAGGCGGTGTGGCAGAGCTGCTTGTGGGGAAGCCCCCATCCTGGGATCAGAAGGGTGGCATGTGTGATGGTCGCCTCAGGGCGCAGGGGAGACGCAGGAGAGTCCTTCCGACCCTTGGGGAGAAGCCGCCCTCTGACCTCAGCCCCCCCCCACCCATGAGATGGGGCCTCAGGCTTTCAGGAGAGCCTCCGGCCCTTGCGTGTCCTGACTGTTCAGAGGTAACTCTGGTGCAGGCACAGACTTGAGCGAAACCCTCAAGACGTGAACCCCAACCTGGGGGTAGATTCCCAGGATCCCGTGCTCAAGGTCAGTCCGCCGACCCCAAGCCCCCGACAGGAGGAGGGTGCTGCTGACTTAGTTCTGTGGCCCCACGTGGGGACCCGTCGCGTCTGACCAGCACTTGTCTAGCTGCCTAAGGTTTCTTGCTGGGGATTCATTTGTAATACAAGTTTATTCTCAGAGGAGATTTTCTTTTCGGTCCCAGCTGCAAAGCTGGCGTTGGTTACAAGGGAAGCTGACTGTAAGGCAAACATAAGGCCAGGAAAACAGAGCTGTCAATGTCTGGCTGCACAATTGTCACCCTCAGAGCCTGAAGCCTGCCCGGGACTTGTTTCTAAGGGAGGCGATGAGCAAACACCAGTGTTCCAAAGAGTCCCTAGGACCCACAGCTTTCTCTCCAATGTCATCAGGATGGAAAGCAAATTGGAAAGGGAGCACGTTTTTCATCGCGTGATTCGGTCTTATTTAAGGCCCTGTGCCTGTACTACTCAAAAATCAGCTGAATGGGAAGCGGTTGCTTTAACTCAGGGGTCGGCAGCTTCTTCTGTAAAGGCCAGATCGTAACGATTTTTGCAGCCAACCAGGTTCGGTTTCAAATACCCAACTCTTTCTCATATGAAAGCTGCTGTAGGCGATATATAAACTATCGCCATGTCTGTGTTCCAATAAAACTTTATTTACAAAAACAGGCACTGGGCCAGATGTAGCCTGTGGGCCCTAGTTTGACAAGTACAGATTCAGCTCATTTCCCAGCGTCTGGGAAGGTCTGCCCTGGTCCACTTCCCGGCACTTGGCAGGAACTTTATAGTGAGTGTGCGACCTTGTACCGAGTGCCGAGGGCTCTGGTCTGCTCACACACCGCAGGGCACATGCGTGATGTCAGGCCGCATCCTGGCACTTCTGGAATGTTCTGCTGCGCCCATCCGTACACAGGCTGTGAAGGTACCGGGAGAGGAAGCCACTGTAGGCAGAGCCCCTGACCCACAAGGACTCTCAGCGTCCATGCCCTCCAGGGTGATGGAGAACAAGACACTTCTGTACTTTCTGCCCGAGGGACCCGCCGTGGTCTCAGGGGCTGATTAGTCAGAGCTGGAGGCGAAAAGAGCGAAGTCCCACCCACAAGCCGTGCACTCGGCTCCGACACGGCCGTGGCCATGGACGTGTTGACGGGGCGGTGACACAGGGACATCCATGTGCCCTGACGGGGGCCGTGCTGCGTTTCCATCTGCACAGCCGCAAAGCGGGGGACTGGCCCCGCACCCAGTGCACAGAAACCGTGCAGAACTGGGCTTGGGAGCACAGCAGAGGGCAGGTACAGAGCCCCGAGGACCCCCTTGCCGCGGACACATCTGACCTGGACACGGGACAGGAAATGGGAGCGTGGCCTTAGGTGTCCGTAGCCCAACCTTGCTGTCTCCTGGCCTCTCTGCCCCATGTCTGTGTTTTGGAGCAAATCTGCCCTCCGCCCCTCAGACACCCTGAAGTGCCCAGCAGCCCCCGTTGGGAGGGCGGGCAGCCTCCATGCCGGGCACGGCTGCTCAGAACCGGGCTGTGAGCTGAAGGATAGGGTGATGGTTTGTTCACTGACTGCTATAAAAGTGTTCCCAGAATTTCAGAACTGAGCACAAGAGAGGTTATTTCCTGCTCCTGTGAAGGTCGTCAGGAGGAGGGGCCCCTGTACCCTGGTCACTAGGGGCCCGGAACTCTAGGCTTGGCCGTTGTGTGCATCGATTTTGCCTGAGTTCCATTGGCCAAAGCCAGGCACGTGGCCATGCGTCGTCGCAGGGAACACGGAGAAATGTGGGCCAGCTGTGCGGGGGCGGGGGGGGGGGGGGGGGGGGGGAAGAAAGGCTGTCTCTGCTCCTGGAAGGTTCCCAAGGTGAGAGCAGGTGTGTCCTTTCCTCTGTGACGGCTCCACTCTGCCCGGGAGACAGGATGAGGGGTGCCCTCGTCCAGCAGCCAGAGCGGACTCACTAGCCCCCCAGCCTGTCTTCCTTCACCCCACTGCCCCGCTTTGTCTTCCCCACAGCACCTAGTACCACGTGACTTCTGACTGTTACTTGAGCCTCTGAGCACCGGCCTCCTGTGCCTCTAGTCTTGTAAACAGTAGGCACTTCATTTGTGGGATGAGAGATGGAAGCAAGCCCAATGGTGGGCGCTGTCTGGGCACCCGTCGGCTCACACACGGCGGTGGCCGCGGCACCGGGGTCCCGGCAGAGTCCCAGCCCCGCCTGGCGGGTTTCAGAGTTGCTCGTGACGGTGGAGCACGTGCCCGCAGGACGTCCCGTCTGCCTCCTGCCTCCGCTGGCAGACGGCCTCCCAAGCGGAGCTGGGATCTTATGCAGAGACGGGTCTTCGGCAAATGGAAAACAACCTCCGTTAACAGCTTCTGTAAGAGATTCGCCTTTTCCAAGTGGACTCCCAGTGATCATGTAAGAACTCCGCACAGAAGCACGCACACACATGTGCACTCACACCCCACCCCACATGATAGCACACACGTATCACACCCACACTCTCATGTGCTCACTTCCTCCCCCCCTCCCCCCGTTCCCCCATTCAGTTCTTACATAGCCCAGGCAAGGGTTTGGGGGTGCTTCCTGCCCCTGTCTCTGTCTGCAGGAAGTTGATGAGCTTCCTGTCCCTGTTTGGGGGGAATTTGCTCCAGAAAGAGGCCCTAGTCGCAGCAAATGTGAATACAGCTTGATGGGGCTGGGAAGCCAAGCGAAGAGCACTTTGAGGTTCAGCGGGGATCAGCTGCAATTCTGTGCTCATTAAGGCATTTCATTCTGATAAAATATGTTAAATGAAAAACTGGGCGGGAAGAAGCAGGCAGAACGTTCTTCCCGAAAAACTACTGTTAATTACAGGCTTTTTCCTTGGAAGGACTAGCAGCGGTTCCGCGGCGCAGGGAGAGTGAATAACTGACTGGGTGGGGGAGGGCCCTGAGGAGGGAAGGCTGGCCACACGGGCTGCGCTGCCGGAGCGGGCATGCGCGCGGGCGGCATGGACCGGCTCCTGCGGGAATTAGACCAGTTAGACCACCGTGGAAATTTGTGTGGCAGGAGCAATACGGCCACATCCCCGAGGCAGCGCTCCGACCTCCGGGCTGTCCCTTCTTCCCAGAAGAAGGGGAGACATTCACAGGCCGGCTGATCCCCGGGAAGCTGGAGGGAGGCCCTGTGTTCTGGGAATGGCAGGAGGGGGCCTTCCCTGCTCCCGAATTCCAGCTCTGGGCTCCGGAAGGAGCAGTTTGGGGCCAGCCGAGGGTGCCAGGTACCGTGCAGGCCCTGGAGATTTGGAGGGAGAGGACTAGAGTGCCCATCCCGCTTCGAGGGCGTGCGGGCAGCCCGCCTGCTGCCCGTGATTCAGAATTTGGTCCCTTCGCTACCGAGGTTGGGGCTCCTGCGCGTGCACCTCAGCAGACGGTTTTGAAAAACCACTTGCTTTTCTAGCATGCATGTTCGGTTTG